CAATAGGCTAAATTATGGACTAATACCGGTGCTGTGCATCGCTAATATTATTACAGCTCTCCCAACTACGTCAACAGAGGAAGGAACAAGAAGATGACTAGTCTGTTCTGCATATTTCCCAGACGAAGAGCTATGTTCCCCGCATATAATAGGCGAAATAGTCTCATATGCGGCAAGGACTATCCTCCAACTCATCATAGGATACGATGCCAACGCCCATAATATCATGTGGGGAAGCACTGACATCAATACAAGAGGTGACAAACCAACTTTCGTCACGGGAACGAGAAAAAAAGGCCTAGATATGACCCTGTGCTCGAGTAAAGCAAGTGATAACATTTCAAAGTGGCATGTGTCAGACTAACCATCATGCTTAGACCACAGACAGATTAGATTTAATCTAATTACCCCACCATAAATTTCAACCAAATACAGAAACCTTAGAGAGACGAACAAAGCCTTGACCGAGCAGTAGACCAAGTAAGTAAGGCCACTGTAACCGCTTACGAATTCTGTGAGAAGGAGGACAAAACCTCCATTCACATCCTATCTGAATGTGTAGTACTTCAGAATCCAAGGGTACTATATCTAGGAGGATATCAAATAGAAGAGAGAGATTTACCTAACTTGAAGCCACTTCAAATCCTACACTTCCTTGATAAAATAGGATTGGCAGGGTCGTTATAGGCATTGAGACATTTCCTTAGTGAATTGGCGATAGAAGGGGGATCAATCTTTTAAGCCGCAGTGTATTAACACCCCATTCTCAAAATAACATAACCGCTTACGAGGAAAACTGTCTAAAAAAACAAAAACAGTCTGGTGGAACAAACACTTGGAACGCCTTGGAGGCGAAGTGCGAAGGCTATTTAATAAAGCCAAGTCAACCGAAGACTGGGCCCTATACAAGGCTAGACTCACGCAGTACAACAAGGAGATAAGAAAGGTTAAAAGGCAATAGTGGAAGTTTTGTAAGGAGTTATCTGAAACACCTACATGCTCTAGAATTCACAAAGTCTAAGCTAAAGAGGGTGCTTCAAACCAAGTAGCATTTCTCAGAAAAGATAATGAAACCCATACACAAAAACCTTCGAGGAAACGTTCACAATGCTCATAGAAGTACACTTTCCAGCTGCAGAAATTTTGCTACGCTCGATAGTAGCATACAGCCCTCAAAGAAAGTCTCGTAGGCCAACTCCTTTGGAATGGAGGCTAGCTACAGAAATATCGAGGCCGAACAATATTAGATGGGCTACAAACAAATTTCAACCATACAAATCCTCTGGAGTAGATGGAATATATCCCATTTTACTACAAAAGGGATAGGAAACTTTAATTCCACATATGTATCGCATATTTAAAGCATGTATAGCCTGGCGACATATACCAATGGCGTGACAAAAGGTGAAAGTCCGTCCAATCAGTCTATCATCATTCATGCTGAAAACGATAGAAATACGATACGAAATACTGAGAGATCCCCTCAGCGACCGTAAATATGCATATTAACCAGGCAAATCAACCGATTTGTTCCTAAATGATCTTAACAGGCTATTGCCCAAATCACTGTAGGATAAAGAAATGGCAGTAGCAACTTTTATAGATATTAAGGGAGCTTTTAGTAATGCAAAAAAATTAAAAAACTTTGTATGAGTGAAATTTCCGCAAAAATGTTTTTTGATCGTTGCAATATGGTTCTTTACCAAGGTCACATTAATACTTTTAGATATTTTTGCGGATTTGGAATCCTTATTTCACGTAGATTTTTCAATTTGAGAGTTGACATTTGCACATTATACCGGGTCGATAATAGACAAAACATAGCGTACGATGCGTTCTAAGACGGTTTGGCATTATTTAAGTTTTTGTAAAAATAAATTCTTACCTCAAGTTGTTTTTATTTAATTTAATAGTTTTAATGAATAATGGGGAACATATTTTCAGAAATGCTGGGAGAGAGAAAACAAAAAATCTGCCAATAAACATTAAATTATATAGTATAGGATATAAAGTAAAGTAGACCTTCACAAATTCGTTTAAAGGATGAAAGATATTTTTTATAAAATAAACTATGTTAATAAATATACCGCAAATGGGTTGCATAAAAAATTACTGTAAACAGATAAGGGCATTGCCGACTCAAAGGGCACCTTAGTAAACAGAGTAGTAGAAAATAGATTTTGTAAAAAGGAGGACGAAACTGCATTCACATTCTGTTCTGACTGAATGTGTATTACTCCAGAATCCAAGAGCACTATACCTAGGAGCATAATAAATAGAAGAGAGAAATTTACCTAACTTGAAGCCACTCGAAATCCTACACTTCCTTGAGAAGGGTCGTTGTAGGCATTGAGACATTTCCTAGCGGCATTAGCGACAGAAAGGGTACAATAGATCTTTTAGGTCGCAATGTATTAATACCCCATTCCCAACATAACAAAAAATGTATAAGAGTCATAGAGAGTGCAAATTTCAAATTTTGAAGACAACCCAAAAACAGTCGAAGCATCTGGGTGATATTTGAATGTTGGTTTGAAACCCTACTTTTTCAGTAATAGTGCTTGATAACGCTTCTTATCACAGCCGCTTAGTGGAACGTCTACCCATTATGACTACTAAAAAAGTGGTGATACAAGGTTGGTTGTTGTGGCGACATTGTGATCACCACAAAAACTTACCCATAGTTTAACTTTTATATCATTTTTATTTAAGACTGTTAGGTCGACATTTTTGAGGTTAGTTGATTGGCAATGGCAGGAACTGACGTTATTTTTTAATGCATTTATGGTCAATAACCTTTGTGCATCCTATTTTCCCGCTGAACCTTGATTATGGTTGGGAAGGGGATAAAAAACAAAAAAAAAACAAGATAGACCAATCAACAACTACGAGACAACGACGAACAATAAGACCATCGCTACAGTTGCAACAAAAGGTAATTTCCTTTCCTGAGGACATGGTTAAAGGAGAGCTTATAACCATAATTAAAGAGCATCGTGACAGATATCGTCAGCATGTTGCAGATAAATTGGCTCTTGCTCGAGGTATTACCGTATTAAGACTTCCTCCGTACCATTGCGAATTAAATCCAAAAGAACTTATTTGGGCTTAAGTAAAGGGTTACGCGGCTCGTGAAAACTGATATTTAAAATTAGCGACGTCCAACGTTTACTGGAAATCGGAATGGCACGAATACGGAAAGAAGATTGGACAAATGCCGTAACCCACGTCATCAAGGAAGAAGACAACATCGGCGATTGGACGGGATGGTGGTGATAGAATTCAAAGTCTCAGAGGATTCCAGTTCTGAGGACTCTTCAGCATAATTTAATATTTTTTATTTTATTCCTGATTACTGATTTATAGGTGATGCCTGTAAGTATATTTATTTTTAATTTATTTTATGTAATAAATAATTATTTATTGTTAGATTATAATCTAACAATTGCTAAATTATTTAAGTATTTTTTTTTTTTTTTAACTAAAAATTTATTGATTATTAGAAGGCCATACTTTTTTAATTTCTGTCAAAATTTAAAATTATATTTTGTTCTATATTTAAATTTACATGCACTTCTATATTTTCCCTGTATACCACTAAATATTTTACAAATTTTATTCTTTATTATTGATTTATTATTGCAGAACTTTTTATAAATATTTTTTTTTTGTTAAAATAATAAAAAATTACCATTTTTTGTCAACTTTTTCAGACATTTCATACAAAGTAGATTAAACAATACTTAACGTAAACCAATAAAATCGTGTCAATCAAAACTTATTCAATATTAGCATTCTATCGCCAATCATTGTTACGCCGCTGCATAGGAGGATTAAGGGTAATTCTAGAAATACATTGTTACCGATCGACCATAATCATTCGATGAGTCATCATCATTTAAAATTATAATAGTATACAATACATTCTAATAGTATAATAGTATATTATTCAACGAGCATATAATAGCCATTATATGCGAGCAGAATACTATACTTTGTCCACGACTTTTAAATGAAATTACTAACTTAAAATTCAAATTGATGTGATTTGACGTTTCTCAGCCTTAAATATGATCTAAGCGTCGACGTGCGTTCACAGCAGAACGTTCTTAGTACACCCATACTACCAACTGTACACCTACGTAATATGTGTTGCCTATAATCTTATATACAGAATTATGGGTACGGATTATGTGTATGTAAAATGTTGGAGCCTCGGTTCTCGGTTTATTTCCAGGAAAACAGAAAATTTGAGTCATGCTTGGCAAATTTGTTTGTAATTTTGGAGTGCTAAATAATAAGTATTTAACAAAATAAAATTCAATTGGTAAGTTTGATGTTTGTTTGATCACGCATAGATACGTAGATATGTTTTTGAGCTTAGGTTTATTTTGAGACATTTAAATTTCTTTTTATTAGATTAAATAAATTTGGCACTATAATAATAGTATAACATTTTGTCCTAAAATATTTGCTGTTACATAAAAACAATAAAAACCTAAAAATCAAAATACTGAACAAACAATAGGTACCTATAAAGAATATTTTCATATCAGTTTAGACATACGTGATGTCGTCATACCGTGACTAATGGATCATTATTCACTAGTGAATAATAGGTATTATTATTCTTAAGGAAGTACAAGTATAATGAATGTTTTATAGAACAAACAATATTTTAAAATTCGTTTATCCATAAAGCAGAATGTAATGTAAACATTTGCTTTAAAGAAGCATTGATCATCAAATTGCTTCAACGACGGTAAGTACATGTACTGTAAAAATGTATTGTCTTGTCTCTTAAAACATTACGTGGTGTAATTGGATCTTGAAGTCATAAACAGCAACTATAGTATAAACGTATTTTCTGTTAAAATATATCAAACCAAAACACTCAAAAATCTCAAACCTAGTTAGACTAGTAATAACAAAACCAAACAAGTTAGTAAAAGAAAATAATGTTAAAAAAAACTAACCACTCTGTAATCACTCTGGTTCACCTGATAGTTTACCACCCAAATTGGTAATATTCGTATCAGACCCAAAACGCGTTTTATTACCTACAGAGTCCGAATTAACAGTCAACTTTCTCAAATCCTGTTTAAAAAGTCCATCGAAGTCGAAAGCAGTTTTGTCCCGTCCTAAGGTCCTGGGACTCGAAGACTGCGCGCGAAAAAAGCGTATCACAGGTGATTTTTCACGTTTTATCACTGGTTTTGCACTTTTAACATCTTGAACTTGGTCACTTCTCGTATTAATTAAATCACTGCGGGGTACTAATTCTCGATTTGGAGTCAAAGGTTCAGAATAAGAATCTTCCAAAATCTTCTTTTCTCTCCTCCTCTCGGGTCTAAGTGGTGGTTCGGGTGTCTTTTCTCTACTAACAGATCTAAGGAAAGATCTAAACGAGTCACTACTCAACCGTTTCTTGGATTTATCAATTTTTGTAGTTACCGAGTCTGATGCAGTTCTTTGTCTTGCACCAGTTGCTTTTGGTTCTAATGTCTTAGGACCACTAGATTTTGAAGAATTAGAACTATTTTTGCTAGATTTACTAGATTTCGTGCTATTAGAGTTATAAGCTCGTTCAAAAGTACCTCCTTCTTTGCTTTTTAAGAATCTACTTTTAGTTCTCGGTAACGAACCTGTATCTGAAGGTTCAGGTGTCTTAAGACCAATATTTTCAATCTCCAAATGGTTTTTGTTCCTTAAGGTCTTGCTAAGAGAACCTAATCTATTTAAACTAGTTGATTCTAGCTCAAGTTCCAGTTCTAAGACAGTATTTTCGGATTCCGATTTATTTTTAATCCTAATGGATTTATTTGAACTCCCAGTTTGTTTCAATATTCCAGAATCTTGTTCGAAATTTCTAGATCCAAATTCTGTCTCTGTTACGTTTTTATTCGATTTATTAATTAAATTCTGAGTGTCAGATTCTACTTTCTGACTTCTTGGAGGTTTATTAATTGTACCTAATCTAAAACTCTGCTGATTTGGACTAACTGGTTCTGTAGGTTTCAAGATTTGTTTAGGTTTATTGGCAGAACAAAATATTTGAAACTGATCAGGTTGTTGTGGTTCTACTGGGTTTCTAGCTTTTAAAGATCTATTAGGAGTTCTGTATCTATCGAATGTATGCCTAGATTCGCCTTGTTCCAAGTTTTTTGAAGATCCTGATTTATATCCTGATGTGGAAGGTTCTTGAGCTTTGGAACCTTTTGGAACGTTGGTGTGTCCGGATGTTGAAGGTTCCTGGTTCTTGGCGATTCCAGATCTATTTATTAAATCTGATCTACTTACAAGCTGGGTTGGTTCTAGTGTCCTAGGTTCAGGAGTAAAATAGTTGGTCTTAAATCTATCTGTGGATCCTCTTGATTCCAGGTCGATGCTTTTTGAACCTATACAGTCGAACTTGTCCCAGTCTTTACTCGGACGGGACTTTTCTTTTAGTTTACTAGATTTTTGAGTTTCTGGCTGACTAAATTGAACTGTACTGTTTCTTGGAGTACTACTGGGGAATGACGGTTGATTTTCTTCGAGTGAGGTTCTAATAGGTGGCGTTCTAAGTTCGTTATCGGGCTGGGGAGTGGAGGGTACGTATATAAGGTGACCATATGACAGATATACTATTTCATCTGCCGGAAATATGACATACATGCTCTGTAGGACACCCACATTGCGATATTTTGCTCTTGTTTACTGATCGGGACTTGACGGTGTTCTGATTTTGGGTTAGCATACATTTATTTGGGTTTTGGGTCTTTGTGGGTTACTTCATTGGGTCTGATGGCAACCTATAATAAAAGATAATTTGTTTTTATTTTGTTGTTAGACACGAGTCAATTGTTGAAAAATAAATATATACATGGTGTGAGGTAGATAACTTTCAATTGTTAAATTAAGGTAGGTTAATAAAACAATAGAGAGATATTGCAAATTTCTATAACGCCAGCAACTAATAGTGACATCGTAATTAGAGTTAAATAAATTCCATGCTAAAACCGGACTCATTGCAAACCTGAAATTTTTACATTAGAATCCTTGTCCTTATACTTATTTCTAACCTCATTTTCATAATTATACATGACGATTATAATAAATATTTAATATTAAAAACTTCGAAAGGATAAGAATGTCAGCAAGCGCACCCGAAAACTATGAAGTCGCCACTGCCTGCTGTCCTTAAATATCCACAATTAAGGACAGACACAATCTTTAATAAAGTCAGTTTTAGAACATAAACGATCTGCGCATGCTCAGATGTCATAATAAGAGCAGCATTAATAGTGACTGGCCTTATGTGAACTTGCAATAACTCTCTATTAATGTCTGATCATTATATTATCAAGCTATTATAATTTTTTTGTATAGGTATATTTCTTTGACTTTGCATTTTTCGTTTTTACTTGTTGCTTCAGTTAAGGGCTATTTTACTTGGCCCCTACTTATAAAAATAAGTGTAAGGATAATATTATTTTTTAACAGGATATCATATTTGAAATTAGGTGATGAACTAATTTATAAACCAATATTTTATCGCCAACCGTCTATAAAACCCATGAATTACCATAGCGATTCGCGAAAGTAAACAAACACTTATAGCAGATTGCAAAACCGATCATTAAATATTTAATGACTTGTTAAACCCTAATCTCTCATTACCGGTGTAGTACGGGTTGCATTCTGCTTTAAATAAATAATGGCACCGTGAGCTGGCAACGTTGCCTCCTCCGTGATGTCTCACGTTTCATAACTTTTATAGATTCAAACTCCTGAAAGGCGTCAGAATACAAGCCAGAGAGCTTTTGATACGAGGCATGGATGTCGTCCGATGGGTGTTTTCCCAAATGTTCATACAATTTTCCCCAAATATCCCAAATTTACCCCATTTCCTACATATTTTACCCAGTTCCCCCAAAATTTCCCCTATTCCAAAACTTTCTCGTTATTTTCTTTGGAATTTGAGGTAATACGATTGCAATTAGAAAGTGATATGTAATGTAACTTTTAAAAACAAATGATTTAATATTGGTAACACTACTGCCTACTACTACTTAAAAGAGGGGGTAATTTAGAAAAAACAATTTTTTTTAATAAAATTACGAAAAAAGATCGACCATCGGAAAATAAAAGCAAATTGTTAAGAAAGTTGGATAATTTTGGAAAAGTAAGGTATTATTAAAAAATTGGAAGAATGTAGTAATTAAAAAAGGGTTATCATTCCAAAGAAAGGGGTCATTTAAAAAATGGGAACTTTTGGAACTAAATAACTATATATTTGTCCAAAAATTGTGGTAGCTTTGGTAAAAATTGGGTAATTTTTAGAAAAAAATTCGTTTTTCGAAAAAAAGGAAATTTTCCAAAAACTATTTGGTACATTTCTCCAAAAAATTGAAATAATTTTTTAAATAAAAAATATGTTATTCTTAAAGAAAAATGGGATAGCTTTTAACTGTGGTAATTTAAAAAAAAATGGTTTAAATATTTTATAAAATTGGGGTAATTAAAAAATGAGGTAATAAGAAAGGGAAATTTAATTATTCCAAAAAATTTATTAACGCACGTGCTGTATAGGACATTTTCTTTTGTAAGGATCAGCAAAGCTAGTCACAGAACCTGAATCAGTCGATAAGGTGAATAATCATAAAATATCAATCTCATTGGTAACTTATTATAGAAGACTTAGTGGTCTATTCTGTAACAATTCTTTTATATTTAACGGCCTTTAAAAATATTGACGGCCTATAAAAATATGTTCGTATTCGTTAATTTACTTCTGTCATTATTTAAACAGATTTCTTTAAGATATGCCTCTAATGTATTTAAAAGATCCGTTTAAATAATGACAGAAGTAAAGAAAATATTTTTAAAGGCCGTTAAATATAAAGGAATTGTTATAGAATAGACCCCATTATCAGCTAGATAATTTTAAGATGACAAGATACCTTTGTCAACTCAGGTATCAAAAATTTAGCTTTTCAACTGGACTGATATATTTTTTCTACATCCACATGGATATTAGCTAATCTACGCACATACTAAAATTAAAAAGAAATGAAAAAAAAAATTAAATCATGGATCACTTCTGGACTTGTAAAATCAATTAAAGAGAAAAACAGATTATATAGAATAATGAAAAATGATTATACGGAACAAAATAAACTCAATTTTAAAAATTATAGAAATCGTTTAAATACTCTAATAAAATCAGCTAAACGTGAATATTTTAATAAAAAAATTGAGACTAATAAAAACGTAAACAAAAATTTTTGGAAATGTATTAAAGAAATGTCAAATGCTAAAGAAAACAAAGTAAAAATTGATCGAATTAAAACTATCCAAGGGACGGTTACTGACGATCTTAAATTAATAACAAATACATTTTGTGAACACTATACAACAATTGGGGAAAAAATGGCTAGTAGAATATCTACACCGACGAACTTAAACATTAGAATAAAACAAAATAATAAAAGTATATATTTATCAAATACAAACAGTAAGGAAGTCTCAGAAACGATAAACAGCTTTAAAAATAATAAAAAACCTGGTTTGGATAATATAACGTCTGAAATACTCAAAGAAATAAACAATGAACTATCACCAGTATTGACCTTCTTAATAAATAAATCCTTTAGTGATGGAAAATTTCCAGATTCTCTAAAAGAATCTATGATAATCCCCATATATAAAAAAGTAGATAAGCTCGAAGTAATTAATTACCGACCGATCTCAATAATTTCCAGTATAGGAAAAATTTTTGAAAAAATAATTAAAAAGAGAATCATTCTTAAATAAATATGAAGTCATGTCAAACAAACAGTATGGGTTTCGGGAAAACACCTCAACTTCAGATGCTATTGCGAGATTGACAAAAATAATCAATAATTCAATAGACCAAAAACAACCATCACTTTGCATCTTTGTTGATCTCGCAAAAGCATTCGATACTGTTAACCATCAAAAACTTTTAGAAACAATAGAAAACATTGGTTTTAGGGGCGTAGTCTACAATTTAATGAAGAGCTATCTTCATAACAGAACACAATTAGTCGATATTAACGGTACCTTAAGTGATCCTAAGATTATAACCTGTGGTGTTCCTCAAGGAACAGTACTCGGTCCACTACTATTTAACATATATATAAATTACTTATTTGAACAACACGTCGCAGGTGAAGTGGTCAGTTTTGCCGACGATACCGCAGTTTTCTATAAATCAAGTAATTGGGAGTCACTAAAGAATACCGTTGAGGCAGACTTTCCAAAAACTGTCAATTTTTCCTATTACAAGGCTTTGACAATAAATTATAATAAAACATTTTACGTACCATTCTCATCTTACAGTAATAACTTACCACCCTATAAAAAACTAAAAATTAAAATAGATCAGAAACATTCAATAGATATTCAATCTGTCAATAACATAAAGTATCTAGGTGTATACATTGACTATCATTTAAAATGGGACGCACATGTGAATTATGTAATAAAGAAACTACGTTTTGTGGTATATAAATTTAAAAATCTATCAACATTTTTACATATTAATCACTTAAAAATATTATATTATGCACTTGTAGAATCTCATTTATATTACGGACTCATAGCATGGGGGTCTGCTGGAATAGTTCTTTTAGAAAATCTACAAAAAATACAAAAATCCATAATAAAATATATGTATAATAAACCTCGAATTTACCCTTCTACAGCACTTTACCAAGAAACACAAATATTTAACATACTAAAGTGTTACTGTTAAATCAATACAAAATCAGTAAAGAGAACAGACATATCACTCATACGTACAATACGAGATATAAAGTCGATTCTGTTACTATACCTCGAGTAGAAAAAACAATTGGACAAAAATGTTTTACATATTTGGGTCCAAAGTTATGTAATGATATTCCTTCCGATATCAAAAAAATTAACTCTCGTTCTTTATTTAAAAAAAAAGTTATAAAATGGATTTCAGGGATACCTCTTATTAAACTAACACAATTTTTAAATTCCGATAGTGCTTGTTATAGTCTAAAAAATTTTTAAGAAAAATTTAAATTATATTTAAGAATATTTTGTAGTAAGTAGTATTTTATCTATAATGTTTTATAATTAATTGTTTTTATTTTATAATTTTGTATCAGTTTGCTGTTTAAAAAATGAAATTCTCGCCCACGCTCAGGTACCTAACCCTTTTGTGGGTGTTTTCATTTTTATTTACATACATTATGCATTGAATTGTTTTTACTAAGTATAATTCGCAGTTACTTGTGTGTGAATAAACATTATTATTATTATTATTATTACTACAAAACGAAAAAGTATGCTATTGCGTTTAACTGAACGGATATATTTCATATCCATACTAGGTAGTAAGTATACTGTAAACAAAATTAAATCCACTAATCACAGTTAATATTTTGAACACCCAGCTACTATTTTGAAAATTTTAAATAAGTGACAATTCTGTCAAACTAATTGTTAATATATTTTTTAGTTATTGAGATTAATATAAATTAAAATGAGTTACTTTTGTATAGAATCGATAAATAATAGCATTTTTATTTTTATTTGGTCCAAATTTTGAAAAAAGAAATTAGTTTTTAATCAAATGATATGAAATATTAAAAATAAAAACTAAAAAGTGGCAATGGAGGCGAGGACAGAGTGTCTGCCTTCGACGCTAAAAGCCCGGGATCGAATCTGTTCTAGGAACTAATTAAATTAAATCCTTATTTTTTTTTTTTAAATTATTTTATAAATTAGTAAAATTCGTTATTTTGTCTTAATA